CAGAAATCATAAGTGAGCAAAAATATGCCAATGTAAAGATGTTATTTGGCTAAGTGTGTAATCACAGCACCCAGGCAGGCTGAGGCAGGAGGATCACAAATTCACTCTCAGCCTGAGCAATTTAGCAAGAGCCTGTCTCAAAATAAAAAACTAAACAAAGGTGAAGACGGAGCTCAGTGTGAAGGCTGTAAACTTACTACCTAGCAACAATGAAACAGTGAAGAAAAGGGTACCAGCAATTCTGGAAGATCACTAACTATTCCCAGAGGGGATGTGAAGACCAGCCCTGGGTTTACAAGCCCATCTCTCTCCCATACTATTCCTATTCCATACCCATGACTCCTCTACACTCTGGAGTTGAGAGGCTCCTGTATCAGCAGACCCCTCTCTGTCTCCATTTTTGGCCACAGACTAAAGCTATTTCTCCTCCTATCACTGTCTCTGGAGCCATTTGTTCTCCCAAGTGGCAGCAGAATCCAACCCTTTCCTCGAGAGCACTTCGCTTAGCCTTGCTGCACATACCAGCTCTGCAGTACAGATCAGGAAGGTCACAGCTGCCTAAACTAGTTTTCAGCAACTTGGAGGCTGCTTTAGTCTATCTCAGACCAGCTAAAACCACTGACCCTCTGGCTGGGCCTGTGCCAGTATACAACAGAGGATCTTCAGACACCAGAGGGCTGAAAATTGCACTCTCAAATCATATTACTGCTACCATTTTCTGAAACATGCATCCTATGGAGAGCCACTCAGTGTGACTGCATCACCAATGATTCCACCTTTCCTACCTTCAGTCACTAAGGCCACTCTGCTGCTCTGCTTTTTTCTTCCTATTTTTTTTTTTTAAGTTGGGACCTTAATATTTTTGAGTGGGATGCATCTCTCTTCTTTAGAGATAAAACCTCCTGAGTGAACCAGGTTACTAAATTACTGTCCTAGGAAGAGTTCTGAAATAGACTCACCCAAATGCTGCATCTCTCTCTGCATGAAGCAGCTTTTTATCTTCTTTTCAGTCGCATGGCTTCTGAGCTGGGCTCATTTTGCCAGCTCATTTCCATCACTGAACTGATGAGTTTCATGAGAGATATTCATGTGGTTGCTCAGTGTGTGGACATGAGATCTGGTCTCAAATCCAGTTCCCTGTGATAAGTTTTAGGAGTATTTGTGGAAAAAAAAGGGAGAGGGGACAGGATGGCAGACCATGCATGATGGTACATAACTGTAATGCTGGTACTCAGGCCGAGACGGCCATGTTAACAACTGTAGCCTGCACTACATAGTAAGATCCTGTCTCACATCCTCCGTAACACCCCAAAAATGTTCCCCATGAAGAAAACTATACAACTGAGAAAGGGAGTATTGTGATGAGCAAATAGGATCATCACTGAATGGTCGTCTTCCAGGATTCATGTTGGGGCTGGGTGTAGCTTAGTGATAGAGTGCTAGCCTACCAATGTCTAAGGCCCTGGGCTCAATTCCCAGCACCACAGAAACCAATGAAACAGCAAAACAGAATGCAATTCATATGCTGAAGCCTAAACAGCCTTGATGTACTGAAGATCAATCTTTTGGGTGGTAATCAGGATCAGTGACTAAGGTCTTCACAATAGGATTTATACCTTATAAGAATTTATATTTTGGGGGCTGGGGATTTAGCTCAGCGGCGTAAGTGCCTGCCTTGCAAGCAGGCTGTCATGAATTTGATCCCCGGTACCAATAAAAAGGAAAAAGACCAAAAAAAAAAAAAAAAAAGAATTTATATGCAAGGGCTGGGGTTTTAGCTCAGCCGCATAAGCATCTGCCTTGTAAGCAAGTGGTCGTGAGTTTGATCCCCGGTACTGATAAAAAAAAAAAAAAAAAAAAAAAAAAAGAATTTTTATGCAGTTTGTGTGGTGGCCCATGTTTGCGACCCCAGCACTTGGGGGCTAAAGGCAGAAGGATCATAAGAATGAGGCTACCAGGATTGGAGGTTTAGCTCAGCAGCATAAGCGCCTGCCTCGAAAGCAGGCAGTCATGAGTTCCCCGGTACTGATAAAAAGGAAAAAGACAAAAAAAAAAAAAAAAAAAAAAAAAAAAAAAAAAAAAAAAAAAAAAAAAAAAGAATGAGGCTACCCTAAGGTCAGCAAGAACAAGACCCTGTCGGGGAAAAAAAAAAAAAAAATGTAGGAACATGTGTATGTTTTAAAAGTAATTTACTTCACGCTTTAAAATCTCATTTTGACCTTTCATCCCTTCACTTTCACACACATTTTTAATATTGCTCCCTTCCCCAGCAGACCTCCCTACCTTCCCTTGTCAACCCCAGTTGACTTGCATCTCCACAGCTGGCATCACCATTCTATCCCAACACTTGAGCAGACCACACTGCCTAGCACCCTGATGTGATCTATCGCCGTATGACTTTCTCTGGCAAATGAAATCCAAGCAGAAAATGACCTATGCAGCCCACTCTCCAGTGTGCTGTGGGGAGACATGGTGATCTGTAAATGCCAGGCTTAAAAGTTCCCAGCAATTCTGAGGCCAGCACAGTGCTGCCCTGGAGAATAGATAGGCAGAGGGGCTGGGGATTTAGCTCAGCGGCATAAGCGCCTGCCTTGCAAGCAGGCAGTCGTGAGTTCGATCCCTGGTACCGATAAAAAAATGAAAAAGAAAAAAAAAAAAAAAAAGAGAGAATAGATAGGCAGAACCCACAGTAGACTTCAGGCAAGTGGTGAAGCTTGGGGGTTCTATGTAACTAAAGCACAATTCACCTGTCTTCTTCAATATTTCTCCCCTTCCTTCACTTTTTTTTTCCCCTTCACTTTCATCCTCGTTCATGGCTACTTTAGGGGCCATGATTAGGTTCATATGTAGCCCCTGAAATTTGCAGGATTAAAATATTAGATTTCCCAGTAATAATTTAAAACAAGTATTTCTTTAGCCTCAAAGATCATACATGTAAGCATTCCTTTGTGATCTTTTTGTCTTAGGTATTTCAATACGAATAATTTAAGCAACAAATGTAGGTCCTCAAGTGATCTGGGTTTCTTAGCTTTTAGGAAGTCACTTAGCAAATTCAGTTATCAGAAGTTACATGAATAACACCTCCATTCTGGCTTATATTTTTCATAAAGAACCTTAAACTTTCATATATTCTTGACACAAAGGTACACATGACAGTTACAGCCACTCAGAAGTTAGTATTTTTCAGGGAAAACAGTATTTACATTTTATTTTTTTTAAAAAACTTTTCTGGCAGTGAGTGCGATTCTCCAGCTCCAAAACTGGTTTCTCAGGCACATTTTGACTTTCAGCCTTTCTTAGTGTTTAAACAATCATTCCTATTAATTTGAGAAGCTGTTCTGGGGAAAAAAATGTTATTATTTTAAAGTATTATTTGTACCGGAGATTTAGCTCAGTAGCATAAGCACCTGCCTAGAAAGTGCAAGGTTGTTAGTTCAATCCCTGGTACCAAAAGAAAAAAAAAAGGAATTATTTGTATAGCACTAGGGATCAAATCTGGGGCCTCACACATGCTAGACAAACAATCTGCCACTGAGCTACATCCCCATCCGCTGTGTCTTACCTTTTAAATTTTAAGGAAGTCCTTTGCCAGCAGAGCCAGTAGTAATTTTATACTCACCATCAGCTTGGTCAAGTCAGGGCTGGTAAACCTGGCCATTCTTGGTATTTGGAAAGGATAACTAATGTGAGGAGCTGTATCTTGTGTACTGGAGAAAGCTGAGCAACATCCCTGGCTTCTACCCAACTCCTGGACCACTCATGCACCTGCCTCAAAGTTACAACAACCAAGCATATCTCTTGACATTGCCAATGTCCTCACAGATGCAAGAGTACCTCTAGTAGAGAACTCATTTTTTATTGATACACAATACTGAATGATAACAATCTGAAAAGCACATCAGAGAGCTGAAGCAACCAGTTAGCACTTGTCGGGCATGTCTAAGAGCCTGGGTTCCTTGAGGGCTGGGAAGAGAAACAAGAAGTCAACCTGCCCTCCCTGTGGCAGCAGCCATGTAGGGACAAAAAGAGAAACAAGAAGCCAACTCCCCCTTCCCATGAGTCAGCAGCAGCCTTGTGGGCCTGGGAAGAGAAAGAAGAAGCCAATTCACCCTTTCCATGAGCCAGCCAGTGTGCAGGCTGGGAGACAAGAGCTGCGCTCCACCCCATAAGCAACTGGCTGAGTTGGTGGATAGACTGAGTTGATAGCAACTAAGGTGCAAAAACAACTTAATGCTTGTACTGTTTCATTTACTTTGCAGGACCAAAGCTGGGAGCATCTATTGGGAAGATGACAATGTGCATTACAGCAAATATGGGGGATTTTTGTCTTGTTTTTAAAATCCATTGTTCTGTTTGTTTTGTTGTTGTTGTTTTTAATTTTTTTTTGGGGGGGGCAGTACCGGGGATTGAACTCATGACCTCACACATGCCAAGCAGGCACTTATGCCGCTGAGCTAAATCTCCAGCCCTGTTTTGTTGTTTTATTATTTTGTTTTATTCAGTGTTTTGATGGGTTTTATTCTGTTACTTTATTACATCTGACAGTATGGGCAGCAATTTTGAAGATAACAAGAGGTATTATGGTAACAATTGTTGATTTCCTATTATCCTGTCTTGAGGTCCTGTATCACTTTCACTGTTATGTTTCGTTTACCTTAATTCTGTTTTGTTTGGTTTCATTTTCTTTAGTTCTTCCTTTTTTAAAATATTTTTTATTTTTTGGTACCGGAAATTGAACTCATGACTTCAAGCTTGCCAGACAGGCACTTATATCGCTGAGCTAAATCCCTGGGCTTCATTTTCTTTAAAATAAAATTAAAGCTAGGGATTTAGCTCAGCAGTGCCTTCCTAGCAAGCACAAGGTCATGAGTTCAATCCCTCGTACCCAAAAAATTAAATTACATATTTTTTTAAAAGCCTGTGTTCCATCCCTACCACCACCAGAAAGAAAGAAAGAAAGAAAGAAAGAAAGTCATTGTAAAAAATACCCAAGATCAGTATTTAAGAATAAACCGTTACTATTTTAATGAATGCAATGGTCCTGCCATTTTTTATTTTCCATAATAATACAATTTTCATAAGAAAAGAAATTATACATTTTAAATTCTGATTCTACATTTTTTAAAACATTGAATAATAAAAGAATCAATCTCTCATTATTTTTTTAAATGCCTTCAGTGTCTTAGGATACAAATTGCGATATGCTAATATTTAAATACTGGAAAATGTTCACTTCAAAATGAAAGACATTGGAACTCAGTAACAGTAATGAAGCAACATCATTAGAGATGGAACCACCTAGGAGATTTAATGTGGAAATCTATCTTTACCGCAGATTCACAATCAGATCTTCCCACCTACATTTCTAGAAACATGGGTGCAAAAAACACATGAAAGGGAAGTCTCCATAGGTTTTGGCAGAGCTAAGAAAATTTCATTTTAAATAATGCAAAATGATTTTTCTATTAAAAAGCCTTGAAAAAGCTATATTCTGGTGTACTATAAAGAAAGTGAGTGAAACTTTTTTTGTTGGTATTTCAAATAATGATTTCTCTTTTTTTTTTAAAATAATTCTTGGTATTTCATTTATTTATGGGACCATTGGTTGGTTTGTTTGTTTTTTTTTTTTTTTTTTTTGGTACCAGGGATTGAACTCATGACCATGCACTTGTAAGGCAGGCGCTTATGCTGCTGAGCTAAATCTCCAGCCCAATTTTTCATTTTTTAAAACAACAATTAAAACCTTTGTTAGGGCCAGTGATTTAGTTTAGTGGCATTAAGTGCCTGCCTGGCAAGCACAAGATCATGAGTTAAATCCCTAGAACCAAAACAAAAATAAAAACAAAAAAACCAACCTTTTGATAAAAAGGTAAAGGCACAGTGAAACAATATTTGAAGCCAGGCTCAATGGCACACAATTTGTAATCCTAGCACTCAAGAGGCTCAAACAGGAGGATCACTGCAAGTTCAAGGCCAGCCTGGGCTATAAAATGAGACCCTGTCTCAAAAACAAAGCAAAAAACAAATAAAAATTCACCAAAGCGAAACAATTATCTGTGTTTCACCACTCTAGAATCCTAAACAGTTCAAAACACAAAATAATTCAGGTGGCCAGCACCTAATTTGTCTTATACATGGCAAAGTTATCATAAGAGGAATTCAAGGAAATGGTTCAGAGTTGCTATATTGCAGTTAATCACGGTAGATGACCCAAGTCTTACTTAAAGTACACATTTTTAAAGTTTTAAAGTTAAGATTTATTTTTTAGGTTTTACAAATGTAAAAGACACCTTTTTATTGCTCTAAATGAACCAAAATGGATTGTCTGCACAGTAGGTACTAATGTTCAACATTTTCTTCCATTTTTCAATAGCCAGATTTTTAGTTTAATGGTCACTTTTCTTGCCCAACAGGTTTTGCTATATGTATGATCCATCCAAATTGAGGAAAAGAGATTGTGAAATAAAAACCTGTTTCTACTTGTTGGCAGCTGAGAAAAGCACATTTAAAATCAATGTCCAAAATGCAGAATAAAGCTGGGTGTGGTGGCACATGCCTGTTATCCGAGAGGCTGAGGCAGAAGGATCACTGCAAGTTCAAGCCCAGCCTGAACTACATAGTGAGATACCATCTCAAAAACAAAATAAAGCAAAACAAAATGAAAAATGTGTCTCAGGGCGAGGTTCAGTGACTTCTGTTGCAATTAGCATAGTGGCTACTTTTGTGAGCTTGAAATTGCGGAGAGGACACAGAGTACAGTAGGGTAGCTGGCTGAGTTCTAAAAGAATGTTTCTTTTAACAATGCATACGACTATAAATTTCTAATCTTCAGTATGCATTTTACTTTCTAAATAAAAATTAAAATTACAAAGAAAGCCCTTGCGGTTTCCACTAAAAACTATGGAAGTAAATTTTTCTGTAAATAACAACTGATGATGCTTAAGAAATATTTAATAACAAGCTACGAATATTTGAAAAATATTAAGCTCATGTGTGCATATAGAAAGTCAAAGAATTAAGTATACACTGCTAACATAAAATTTATTTTGTTATAGTAGTATGTAATATAACTTGGTTCGATGATCTTTGCTGACTTCAAAATTATCATGTCTTATTCCCATATAAGATTATTTGTCGTACATTGCTAGATATTAGAACAAGAACATTGGAACAAGTTCCATACTTCCTTGAATATCCACACATTGCTTCATTCTCCATCTTTTACACAGAACAAAGATCAATTTCTTTGCCTAACCATGATGGTAGTTGTAATATGCAGCATTATACCTAGTGTCATCCAATTTGCAAATACAATTCTCTACCTTCACACTCAGCCTGTGCTTCTTCTATATACTGATGACTGATGGAGACTATTTCTTGTTGCTAAATGTCTAAGATACTCAAAAACATAAAACAGATTTAAACCATCAAAATGAAAGCAGTTTTCAAATGCAATATAACAATAAGCATGGATAGACATACAGCTGGGTTGTATGTTTTCCCCTGTCAAACACTGACAGTTTCCCTCCACTTGTTCAAGCAGCATCTGAAATGGTACAACTGAATCTTCCCCTTCCCCTTCCTATTCGTAAAATTATGTGGTGTTCGAATGATTCACATATTCAAGAAGCGACTGGTCTAAGGCTCTTCTGATAAGAGCTTCCTCAATTATATTAAAGTCCTACAATAAAGAAAAATAATTAGAAATGTACAGAATCAATTGTTTTAGAAATGGAAGGATGAGAATCAACACAATGGCCCCATTTTGCAGGAAACTAAAGCCCTGAGTTAAATGATATGATTCCATGAAGCCTGTCAGAGAACCTGGGACTTGCTGTGAGGCCAGTACCTATTGTTTCATTTTACACCATAGGAATGAACTATTACACTCACAATAAAATAGATCTATAGTTTGTATCTGATCTAAGTAGCAGCTTTTATTCAGTATTCTAAATCTTACAGGGCTACATTTCACATGAACACATAACATGGGTAATGTGAAAACATCCTCTGGTGTTTGGGGTGGTAGCTGAGTGTAGAGCATCATGAAGCATGTGCAAGACCTGAGGTTTGGTCTCCAACGCCTCAAAACAAAACAAAACAAAACAAAACCAAAACCACATATCCCCTAGAATTCACAAAGTCAGCAGTACCACTAAATATCTATTTATATTTTTTAAAACGTTGCAAACAAAAAACTCCCTCTTGCCCATGTGTCAAAACGAAATTCAATGCTTCCTATTAGCACAGTCCATAAGTAGAACAAAAGTTATTAAGAGCTCTATCTTCTGCAACTGCTACTCTCTGCCACTATCAACAAACTACAAAAAGTGACATCTCTGCTGGCAATCCATTCTAAAACATAGAAACAAATCCGAAGGAAAGCCATGTAGCTCAGAAGAGCACAGGATTTGGACCTAATATCAGCTTTCCCCCCTCCTCCAGTTTTTGTGAGACAGGGTCTCACTATGCAGTGCAGGCTGGCCTTGAGCTCACTTTGTAACCCAGGCTGGTCTCAGACATGCAATGATCCTCCTGCCTCTGCCTCCCAAGTGCTGGGATTATAGGCATGCGCCAACTGGCCCAGCTGATTAGCTTGTTCTTAAGCATGTAGACTTGGGGCTTTGGCTATTTCACAGTTAAATGAGGATGAAAACATAGTATTTACCTCAAGAAGGGACTATCTGGAATAAAGTGAACAACTCGGTACATGATAGCTTATAGAACCAAACAATCAAAACAAGGAACACTATTTCAAGTTCACTTCCACATTCAAAGATATGGTTCTGAGTGGCTATAAACTGCTCTCTACAAAGTGGCCTCCTCCAGAGCTGAGGATTTAGCTCAGCGGCATAAGCGCCTGCCTTGCAAGCAGGCAGTCCTGAGTTCAATCCCTGGTGCCCATAAAAAAGAAAAAAAGGAAAAAAAAAAAAAAAAAAAAAAAAAGTAGCCTCCTCCTGACCAGTCTTATGATACTTTGGAAGCCCCTGAGCATGAGGGGAAGAACAGGCATAGAACTAATCTTACCTATCACATATGCCTGGACTGTGCAAATATATTATTTCATATGCATTTTCTCATTTAATCCTCATAAGAGCTTCTGAGAGTGGGTATTTCTAACTCTACCCATTTCATAAATGAATAAACTAAATTCAGGGGTTAAATGCCTTTCAATACTTGCAGGACTGTGACACAGCTACTACTTAACTCCAGGTCAGAAGCTGAGTTCCTTGGGTCCAACCTGGATAATCACAATGGGCAGTACAGAAAACATGGAGGACATCTGGGCACACAGCACATGCCTGCAATGCTAGCACTTGGGAGGCTGAAGCAGGAGAACTGCGGGATCAAGGCCAACCTGGGATACATAGGGCATTTAAGGCCAGCCTGGAGTAAATATAGACCCTGCCTCAAAAAAAAAAAGGAAAGGGATAGAAAATGTTCAAATGATGATCATCAACAATTTCATTTTGAAATTGCATAACAAGTCAAAATCAATGAAAGCTTTTTTGCGAACATGGCTAGGAATGATTTTCTCCCCATGACAGGCAACAATCTTTTATTGAAAAGTATTTAGGAAGCCAGGTGTGGTGGCACACACCTGAAATCCTGGCACTCTGGAGGCTGAGGCAGGAGGATCACTGTGAGTTCAAAGCCAGCCTAAACTGTGCAGGAAAACTCTGCCTCAAAAAAGACACACACACACCAAAAGAAGAAAAAAAAATAGTAAAATTAAAAAGAAATGCCATATCCATAAATGGCAGAGACCAAAGTAGAGCAGGCTATGTTAACTTTTTGTTTACTTACAACTATCAGGTCTCATAATGAGAAATATGAGTATCATACAGTTTTTATATAACTTTCATTCATGTTGAAAAAACAAGATTCATTCTGGGTTGGACATTCAGGCAAGGGCGTGCGACTCAAATGAGGTTTGCTCTGTTATTCTGTCTATGACTGTGTATAAAAGCAACTGAATGCAGAAGTCTGAACCAGTCTCATTACTGATAATGATTTCGTCTCCACTATATAAGTTCACAATGTCATTAAAAAGGGAGGAACTAAAACAAAAATTTTAACAACTTAAAGGCTACCTCTGGCTGTTTATACACTAGCTGATTATCAACATCACAAAGAAAATACCTTCATCCAGAGCAGAGAATGACTTTAGCATTAATAGTCAAACTTATAAGATATAGTATCTTTACAAGATTTTCTAATTAATGCTGGTATTTAGCACTTCAGCTATACACACATTTTTCCTTTATAATTTTATCCACTTGGATTAAGAAAGTAAGCCTAGTACAGCAGCATAAAAACAATGTAAAAGTAAAACAATATACTTACTAAGAAATTATCGTAAAACAAAGTGTGGTTAACTTGCAAATGTCTTATTAGACTGCCATTGAAGCTACCTGGATTCCCATTTGGTAGAAAACGGCAAAGTGGACAGAACTGGAAAGGAACAAGAGCAAAAGTTCAAGAAAGAATCTAAAATAATTATTAGTGCCAGAATAGTTAAGAAAGTAATCGTTCAACGTGAATTTTAGCTGGATATAGTGGTTCACCCCACTGATACCAGCTGCTTGGAAATTAGAAGTCAGCTTGGCCAACTCAGCAAGAACCTGTCTCAAAATTTATTTATTTATTTATTTATAGAGTCTTGCTATGCAGTGCAGGGTGGCCTTGAACTTACTCATGTAGCCCAAGCTGGCCTCAAACTCGCAGCAATGCTCCTGCCTCAGTCTCTGAAGTGCTGGGATTACAGGCACGCACCACTACATCCGGCTTTCTTCAAAATTTTAAATGTAGTTTCAGGATGGGGTCCTCAAACCCACGGCATCAGCACCACTTAAAAACTTGTTAGAAATGCACAAAGAGAACTTGCAAGAGGCCCTGGGTTCAATCTCCAGCAAAAGGGACAGGGGCAAATGATCTGATCCCAGCCCAGACCTCTTCAATCACTCAAGGGGCTCCAGGGGCTCTAGGGGCAGGCCAAGGCTTTTTTTGACTAAACAAGCTCTCTCCGGCAACTCTGATAAACCACTAAAATGTAAAAACAAACAAACAAAAAGAAAACATAGAAGAGGAAAAAGTGGAGAACTCTAGACCTAGGCTGTAGTAAAGAATAGCTTTCTTAAGTTCCAGATCTGCAGAAAAGTCATTTGCGGTTTTCATTTTATTGAGACTCTTTATCAAGCCAGAAGCAGTTAAACCACTTAAATGCTAATAAAATGCTTAGTCAAGAACAGCACTGAGAAGTGTGCAAATAGCTAGCTAGCACTTGCTGTTTCTTCCTTACTGATCCCCCTTGAAGCTTTGGGCTGTATTTTAACAGTTGGATAAGAGAAATACCAGGAAATGCAAGAGATACACAAGGAAAGTTAGATGCTGAGAAGTCTAGACACAACACCCTTGTAGCACTTGTATTAATACTGCAGAACACATGATAGAAACTCAGCTACTGTCTGTGTGGGAGGATGCATTAATGTCACCTAGGTGACTCTTCGCTTCGATCCATGAAAATCTTTGTTAACTGTGTAATATGAACAGCCCAAGCACGCTGTACAACACAAATACTGTTGTGCGTCTATTATAAATACATCTGGGGTGAAAAAGTGGGATAGAAATGCTGTGATTTTTGTTTTCTATGTAAACAAAGCCACCACTGGCATAAAACCCAAAATGTGAGTTTCTTTAGTACTTATGTTCATTCTTTTGCAATCTGTGAAAATTATAAAGCCATTCCTATTGCTTTTGATCTTTAATCCTATGGGTCTTTTTCTCTGACCTTTGTAGAACAACTTTAAAGCAGCTTACATTTGCAAGGAATAAAAGACGTCTACAATGAAATTGTCAGAACAATGAAGAAATGGAGACACTAAATGGAAAGACAGCCCATATTCATGGATTGGCAGAATTAATACTGATTTTTGTTTGTTTGTTTTTTGGTTTTGGTACCTGGGATAGAACTCATGACCTCGTACTTGCCAGGTAGGGGTAGGGGCTTGGTACTGCTAAGCTGTATTCCTGGCCTTAAAATTTCTTTTTCTTCTTCTTCCTCCCCCTCTAGCTCTCCCTCCCTTCTTCAAGTTTGCAGCACTGAGGATTGAACCCAGTCTTTGAACTGAACTACATCTCTAGCCTTTTTTTAGACACCAAATTTCCCAGGCTGGACTCAAAGTTTTGAGCTTCCCAAGGTACTGAGAATACTGGTGTGCACTACCATCCCTGGCATCAGTTTAAAAAGCTTCTTCTCAGCAAGGGAAACAGCTAAAAGACCAAAGAAACTCAAACTTAACACCAAGAAAATCAAATAACCCAATTAATAAGTGGGCAATGAATTAAAAAATCATCAAAAGAAATACAAGTTCCCAATAAGTATATGAAAAAAGTATAAAATCTTTAGCCATCAGGGAAGCACAAGCCAAATTACATCAACATTCATTAAGCTAGGCGTGGTGGCCCACACCTGTAATCCCAGCACTCGGGAGGCTGAGGTAGGAGGATCCTTCCAAGTTTGAGGCCAGCCTGGACTACAAAGTGAGGCTGAGACCGAAGAATCATTGTGAGTTTAAGACCAGCTTGGGCTACAAAGTGAGCTCAAGGCCAGCCTGAACTGCAGAGTGAGACCCTGCCTCAAAATAAATAAATTAATTAAATTAAATCAGAATGAGTCTAAAGTTGTAGGGCTGAGGATGTCAACACAGGGATACAGCATTTGCCTAGCATGAGTGAGGCCCTGAGTTTGATCTTCAGCATTAAAAGAAAGAAAAAAAATCCATTAAGTGGATTTTCTGATGTATTTTAAATTCTAATATAGTAACGTTATGTACTTCAAACATGTACCAGTAAAAATTAAAACAAAAGGGGCTGGAGATTTAGCTCAGTGGCATAAGTGCCTGCCTGGCAAGCTCAAGGTCATGAGTTCAATCCCTGGTACCAAAAAAATAAAAACTAGAGCCAGGCGCAATGGCACCTGCTTGTCATCCTAACACTCTGGAGGCTGAAGCAGGGGAACTGCTGCAAGTTCAAGGCCAGCCTGGGCTACAAAGTGAGTTCAAGGCCAGCCTGAACTGCATAGGCCCTGTCTCAAAAGGCAAAATAAATAATTAATTAATTTTAAATTAAACATAAAGATACAATAACAAAAATTCTTACCACAGGTCTCCTTTCGGATCTGTGATGAGTGATACAGTGCTGTAGCAGGCTGTCTTCATCCAATTCCCTCTGACAAAATGGGCATACACACCTAGAAATTGCACAGAATTACAAACATCACTGAAATCGTTGGCAGCTAGACAGTAGTCACTAATTGAAATTTTTAAAAAATAAAATATAGATGGATTTACTTTCTAATCCCAGTTCTTTTGATTTTACTTTTCTTAACCTGGTAAAGGTGTTGGTACCTAAATATTTTCCCATAAGAAATCTAAGTATGTATCCTAAAAGAGACTGTTAGTTATTTTTCTCTCCTTGCTGAGACAAAATACCTCACACTTACAGTTATGATCAATATAGTTCCCATTACACTGATGAGCCACCTCTGTCCTCCCCAGCCCCATGCAAAATCACCCACCAAAAAGCTCAGGAATCAGGATCTCTGCCCAGCCCTGTCTTCCCTTGTTCAAATACACACTGAGATGCCACTTCCTACCTTGCAAAGAGAAACTAGCAAAATGAGAGAACAGAGCAACTGAGCAGAGATAATGATGATAGAAGAGTAAAGATAGTCATTTTGTCAGGATCTACTTCCGGAACCTGTCAGTCCAAAAACAAGAGTCCAGAAGAAATCTGAGCATTCTGCATTCCATATTTGGATCTTCCTCAATAGAAACATCTCCGCAAGTCGCTCCAGTGTTTGTAATTGTGTGTAATTGTAACAGTGTGTAATTTGTGTGCTGAGTTCCCTCCCTCCATAAGTTTTTAAAGTAGAGCAAAAATCTTTGAAGTGATTGCTCTTACCAAATAAACACCAGTATTCAGGTACTATAGTCAAGAGCCTATCCATAAATATTTTCAAAATGAAAGTATTAATCTTTCCCAGCCCATTACATTCTTTATAGCTGTTTAATATTAAATTATATGGAATGAAAGCAAACCTCCCGGTTGTCTCAAGTTCTTGCAGTGGTCCATATTTGTCAATATACTTCTCACAAGTCCTTATGTGCGCCCTCATTTCACTAAGGCAAACCTATAAAAAGCAAATTCAAAATAAACTCACAGTTGAAAGGAGACTTTTTTACAACCCAGCTTTATAATTTTCAAGTAAGGTCAACTGTGGAGTCAGCTGATTAAATAGATCCACTCATGAAACAGTACCACAAAGTGTAGGCATTATCAAGCATAAATTTCTCCAATACTATGGAGACCCAAATGTTGAACTTTTGAACTTGGTTCTTCTAAAATGAATGCATATTTTTAAAAGTGAGAAGAGATACAGTAAGTAAGAAATAGCTTTTGCGTGCCACCATGTAAATAAGTTTTGGAAAATAGGAAGAGAAAGAAAACTGGGTAAAGAAAATGCTAGAAGGAGAGAAGAAAATATATGAAGAAGAGGAATAAAAGAGATTTTAAAAACACATGAATTTTAGAGGGGATCATATTAAATTAAAAAGAGCTTCTGGGCCTTAGGCCAAGATATAAATACCATGGTTTTATAACATAGCCAGTATTATATCAATTCACTATGCAGGATATACTTAATGGTCCCATTAAGAACAAACATAAAAGACAAGTCTTGCAGTCCCCTTTTATCAATGCAGAAGAAAGAGCCCTTGTTCTTCGAGATATACATTCAGAGAGCCTCCCCATGAGGGGTCTGTGGCTACCGTAACACATCTTCAACTGAATGTTGCATTAGAGGCTCTGATAAGATCTTGCACTAGAGGAAGCTCTGCACAGCTGTGCTGCTGCGGCTGACCCAGCCGCTTCATTTCATCCAAACTGCGGAAGTTCAGCCTCAAACACGCAATCAACTCCATCAAAGGAACAGTCACACTGTTCAACCAAAGGCAAAAACAAAAGCTGGTGGAAAAGTCCAAACAAAATCCTCGCTTGCCAAATAAATATCCACCTAAAATTTATGGAAACTCACTGATCGAGTAAGATGGACTTCAGCAGACATGTCTGTAACCTTTAACATCCAACCTTTCACATTCAATAAAGTTCTTGCATCGCTTTACTATTTCTAATAAAACAGTTCTCCTGTATTCCTTGTTTGACAAAGGTAAGCATTCCTCACGGAAATCAGCAATCTGAAGGCTAAGTAGTGACCAACAGATTGATGCCTTCATGGTCTACAGCAGTTACGTAAGACTGCTGTAAGAGATGGCAAGAGAGAGATAAGGCACATTCCTGCTGTCACAGTGCTTAAAATCCACTAGAGAAAAAGGATGTGGAGAGAGGTAGACGGGACAGTGTTTGGGATTAAACAGTATAACACTAAGTCCCAGTCTTCCTGAAGCAGTGAGCTGGTCTAGACTCTGAAGAAGAGGTGGAGTATAAAATGGCTCTCAAAGGAATGGGCAGCATTCCTGGCAAGGGATAGCATAAAGGGGGAGAGCTGGACACAGTGGTGGGAGTCAGATGTTAACAAGGGAAAGGCTTTCCACCTGGGCTAACTGGGAGACTGCTGAGAGACACCCGTGTGAGATGAGAAGTTTTGACAATGTGCATGGGAAATTTTGTATGACAAAAATAAGAGAAAGTAAACAATAATCTGTTATTTGTTGTTGTTGCTTTTGCGACCACATCTTGCTATGTAGTTCAGGTTGGCCTGAACTCACTATGTAGCACAGGCTGATCTCAAACTCACAGCAATCCTCCTGCTTCAGCATCCTGAGTGTAGGTGTGTGCCCCCATCCCTGGCATTTTCAGTGCCAGATATTGAGCCAAACAGCCTTGTAACATGAATATTATTTTTTTCCTTACTTTACAAAAATTATCATAGAGAGTGAGAGAATTGGTGTTCGATCTAAGAATATCTGACCCGACAGGGACTGTGCATAAATACTTTTTTTATAGTTTTTTTTTTTTTTTTTTGTCTTTTTCGTTTTTATCGGTACCAGGGATCGAACTCACGACTGCCTGCTTGCAAGGCAGGCACTTATGCCGCTGAGCTAAATCCCCAGCCCCTGTGCATAAATACTAATCCAGTAGCCATGAGTCAATGATTGCGCCTTATATACATATTCAGCAATGTCTTCAACCCTTGTTGTGTGCTAGTCACCATTAAACACGCTGGCATGCTGGTGGAGGTGCCAGACTGCACAGGCACCCTTGTCCCAAGGTATCTAGCTGTGGCTGACAGATAGAAGGTGGCCGCGCAGGTGTCTAGGACAAGAGAGTAGCAGGAGAACAGCCCATACAAGAGGACAAGGGCATTGTCTAAGAGGAGGCCACGAAGTCAGAATCAGGGCAATGTGTCATACACAGGAGGTAGAGAGAAGACGCCCTGCCATTTGGCACCAGGGACTTCCTGCCACCACAGTCAGAATTAATTTCTCAGGGCCTGTGTGTGGCTCAAAGATGCCCAGCTCCCATGACCTCCAGGTATCCCGACCTCTCTGTGGCAGAGGGGCAGGATGCCACCTTGGACACAGACTGCTGGGCACTAGGTTTAATTTGTTTCCTGTGTTTTCTAGAAATTCTTTTTTTGACAATTTTATTTCCCTGTTTTGGGTAAATGAAGAACGTGAGAAAAGTTTCAAGTTTCAAAAAAGAAAAGAGAAGTGCTGAGTATACAGCTGTCAATAAAACAGCAGTGTCTTTTACTCTCATTGGACTCAAATCTGATGGGAATAACAAAAAAACAGATGTGACTGCACTTGGTGTTATAAGTGGCATCAAGGGAATGCATAGGCTGTCAAAAGAAAACACGGCTAAATGATCAAGAAAGATTCTGGAAAGAACTCTAACTCAGTACACGTTTTCTGTCTCCTCATCTCTAGGACTGCAGATGCAGCTGCGTAGCAGCAGTGAGATCCTGCGATTGTCCTCCAGCAACTCCAAAAACAGCGCTGATCTCCCAATGGAGATAGCTAAGTGCCCAACCAGGGTCTCCTCTCAGCAGGTCCAATCATCTACCCAAACACACACCTTAACACCCAGGGACATGCCCAGAACTGTACTGTGTTGGTCCTCCTCCACATGTGCTGTTCTTTTGGGTACCCTTGCTTATTCACATCTCTCACTCTAACATTCAGTCGATTACCAATTCCTTCAATCCTATTCCGCCAAACAGTGTTTTCTTCTGTATCTAATGCAATCACCCTAATCCAGTTTCCTTATCTGACCAACTGGTTCCACCAACTCCGCTTCTCCCCCTCCAAACCCTTCTGCACACGTATGCCAGAGAGATAGATACCTTCAACAGAGAAGTGCAGTCTTGACACTCCAAAGCTTACACTCTTTTGCATGGCTTACTATTTCAAAAGCCTACATTCTCACATGCTCTCCAAGAATCTCCTGGGATCTGATCCATCTAGAACAAGGCCAAACGTGACAAGCCATAACAAGGAAGTAATGACAAATACGGCAAGTCCAGAATAAAGGTGGGCCCCACCTGATTTCAAAACAGTGATTTGAAAATGAAACTGTTTGTTGGTGGGCTGCAACAGAATAGCAGGAATGGGACGGGTGCGGTGGTCCATGCCTGTAACCCCAACACTCCAGAGGCTGAGGCAGGAGGACTGCTGCAAAGGCAAGACTCTGTGTCAAACAAACAAAAAAACCTAGCAGGATGGAAGTTAGTAATAGTGCCTCATCCACCGATGAGGAGGTGAAGGTAGTCAAGGAAAGCTTTTGAAAAATGAGGTGAAGACAGGGGCTCGAGGAACTGTCCATCTGAAACCTGTACATAAAATGCAGAAAAATGGGAAGGCTGAGATAAAAACTGTAGAAAAGGATGTGGTCAAAAGCGTAGGTGAAATGAAAATTTTCTCACGAATCTTCGGCCACGAACCACACACAGGTAGAGGCACGTACCAGGGTGTCGCACTCGGCGCAGTTCCGGTACTCGGCTCTCATTCTTCTCGCCACGTCGGTGGCCGGAACGCCCTCGGAAGGAAGATAGGCCCGGCAGTAGGGGCAGGTCCATTTGCTGCTCTTCAGACTGGTAGTGATGCAGGAACGGCAGAATCTACCCAGAATCAACCAAGAATACATCACTGTCACACAAAGACACAAAGAAGTCACTCCTACGTGTTTGTGGAAATTTTAACTTGGTGACACCTTGCACATGGTGACTCACACTGTCCAATTACACGTCCACTTGCTTCCTGGAGCACTGCTTACCTTCCCAATCAGACACAATCCCACACACTTGCACACATTTCAACAAACGCAAGCACACAAAGTGGGTAATTGGATTCCACAAAGTTAAAACTGTAACTCCGCTGAGTGCAATGATTCATGCTTGTAATACCAGTTACCCAGAAGGCTGATGCAGGAGGATTGCCAAGTTTGAGTCCCATCTCAAAAAAGGCAGTGGCGGGAGTGGGGAGGAGGGCGTGAGGGTGGGGGGCAGTGACTGAGATGTAGCTCACATAGGAAAGAAGAGCATGGGGTGGTCCATGCCAATAATCTCAGGAAAATCAGCGTGAGTTAGAGGCCAGCCTGGGCTACAGAGTGAGTCCATCCCAGCCTGAACTACATAGCAAGACCTTGTCTCAAAAAACAAAGAAAGAAAAAAAAAAAAGGAACTTGGCTAGCTGGTAGACTTCCCCCTCCTATTTCCTTCCAGCCGATTTCTAATCTCTCCAAGTAATCACTAACTCTCAAAAGTGACATGCACCTCAATCTACAGTGTCACATTTATCAAACGTTTTACCAACCTGCATGCCACAGGTTTGTCATGCTTCACAGCTATGACCACTGATGTCTAAACAACAAAGACTGGTTTGCCTTTTCTTTCCTTTTTTTCTTTTTTGTCTTTTTCCTTTTTATTGGTACCAGGGATCGAACTCATGACTGCCTGCTTGCAAGGCAGGCGCTTATACCGCTGAGCTAAAACCCCAGCTCCTGTCTTTTTTATTTTCTATAAATGGAAAAATTTGGGTGTGCACTGTTTGCATCCATTTTCCTTAGCTCAACACCAAGATCATGTACCCTTTCACTGTTTTTTTTTCTCCTTAAATTAAAAAAAAAAAAAAAGAAGAAAGAAAGATTCATGACGTCATGGTTGTGGTGTGTAGATGGTCCATTCTGGTTTTGTGAAGTCTGCAGTGTGAATTTTTTTTCCTACTCTATTGCTAATGGACACTAGGGTAGTTCCTGTGTTCAATTTTAGTAATGGATAAGCACAGCTAAGTTCCAAACCCTTCCTGTGCTTTTTCATTGCTCTTAGAAGTATTCCCTTCTGGGCCTGTTATCAATTATCAGCACACAAAGGATACTGAACTGCTAACAGGGGCTCCAGGCACCCTGATGTTTAGGCCTGGCCAGTGGCCACTCCCTACTTTTCTAGCAAAATAGCATCTTGCTTTGGCTCCAAGGAAACTACTTATCAATGAGGTGCAATCTCCTGGGACCCCAAGCAAACCCCACTCCTCCTTCCCCGCCTCCATGTTGACACCATGCCAGGTCCCTAAGGGAAGCAAAGTACTCAACAGGACTGGCTTGCTTTTTCTAAGAACTGCAGCTCTGCTCAGGTCCCTAGACCTTTTCTTTTGCTTTTGTTAGTGTCTGGTAAACTTTTACATTTAATGTTATTTCAAGTTTGATTGACTGTTTTTTTTAAAAAAAAAAAATGTGTAATTTATCTCCATTCTTACAAGTTGAGGTAAAAAAAAAAGTGTAATTTATTTAACCTCAAAAAAAAAAAAAAAAAAATTGCCCTGAGAGGCTGGGAATCGGGTAGAGTGGTTGCCTGCATTCTACCTCCAGCTCCACAAAACTAACAACAAGTAAAAAGAAAACAGAACAGCCAAAGAAACATCAACATTGTTATTTACATGTGAAGAGGTAGATTACCTCTATGAGGTGATAGCTATAGAAAGTACCTAACTTGTCCAGTCTTGTGGTTTTTTTTTTTTTTTTGTTGTTGTTGTTTTTTGAGTCTCTACTTATGTAATCCAGATTAGCACTGAACTCACTATGTAAGCCAGGCTGGCCTCAAATTCATGGAGCTGCTCCTGACTCAGCCTCCTGACTGCTGCATCCACAGGTGTGTGCACCCATGCCCTGCTAAAAACTGGGCTTTTCCCACCCTAAGCGCAGCAGCTGTTCATTCCACGTCACAGGCACCTCCCCCTTCCTTTGTGAAAGGGTCACTGTTTTAGGAATTAAGTGACCTGAATCCTCTATTGTCTTTCACTTCTCAGTTCCAAATTCTAAAGCACATCTGCCCTCACATACCTCTGAAAATTGATTCTCCAAGTGTATAGTCTCTTTTGCCCCAGAGGCTGGGGATTTAGCTCACTCTTGAAGGATATTTATTATACTTGTTTCAAGCGCTCAACTCAGCCTTTTTCTCCTTTTGTGGGTCTGCAGACTGAAGCCAGGACACACACACATCAGAACTGGATTAAAGCCAGAGCCCAGTGCCTGCCAGACAGGTGCTCTTCCACTGCGCTCCACTCAGAAGTAACACACCAAGTAAAACATCTACGCTTGTGACCTGAGTTATTTTGTTCACATTGTTCACAAGCAAGCAGACAGACGGCTTTGGGGGTTTTATTCACTAACCAGTTTCCCTCCTTTTCTCACAAGTTAAGTCTTCTGCCAATCCAAGCAGAAGGTAAGTGCTGGTGTGGAGCCCCCAGCAGGTCTGCGTCCACCTCAGTCACTTGCTTTCTTCTCACTCTCCTGAGGGCAAACTGCAGCTCAGACGGGCGGAACAGCTCATGCTTGGATTATAGACAGCTCAACTATTTAGAAATACTGTGGGCAGCCAGACAGGGCTCGGCCCTTGAAAGGTCAGGGCCCAGCACAGCTGTGGCCGGAGGCATCCACTGAAAGCTGGGCTTCCAGAGAAAAGAAAAGAGGAACTGCCCACTCACATGCTTCTCCCTCCGGATGAACAGCAGGGACTGATACATACTCCTAAGTAGGCCTCAAGCACCTAGGGTGGGGGACCAAACCTCCTTAGCCACCCCTCCAGGACAGTCTGTGTGCCCTTGCTACTTTGACTTGCTGTCCCTTTTGACCCCCATTTAATGGATATTACCTAAGCGACTATACTTCTCATTTTAGGGGTTCTTTATAAAGGTCTTGTCCTACCTCATCCCATCCTGTGTCTTTCCAATTGGATCAACAGTACCTACTGTTAATACTTACACTTCTATTACGTTTATTTAGGTAACTGGAATTGCACTCAGGATCTTGCATTTAAGAGGAAGGCGCTAGTGCCTCTGTGCTACATCCTCTGGCCACTTATGTATTATAATCAACAATCTTAGTGATTATAGCTCTGTCCCACCTTAGACTTGCCTTATCTCATGGTGTTGCTCTGTTAAACTCACTTGAGAACTAGGGTCCCAGGCCCCCCACTTGGGACTCCTTCTGTCTCTCTTAGAAGCTTACTTTTCAATGAATTCTTTCTACTCTAACTTCGGTTGTTCCTAGAATTCATTCTTTGAGTTTAGAGAACACAAACTCAGTGTGTGGGACATCCAGCAGGTTGGCAGTTATATTTTCCTTATATTATTGGGAAGTCCTACACTTTATGCCCTATGTCTCCTGGATCTTCCCAGTCATTCCCACTGTACTGAAGACAGCCAAATGGGATATAAACATTTCAGCCAAACTGGAAATAAACATTTCAGGCAGCTCCACAGGGCTGGCCCTTAGCAGACAACTGTAACCAGAGGCATATACACTGCAGGCCAGGCCTCAAGAAAAGGAGGAAGGACTACCCCCCCTTATACTTCCCCTGGGGATGAACAGCAGTGATTGATATTCTAAACAGGCATCAATCACCTTGGGTGGGGGACCTAAACCTCCCTAGCCCATTCCTTCCTTCCTTCCTTCTTTTATTCCCTGAACGGGTGCTATGTAACTTGCTACCCCATTTGATTCCAATTTAGCCAGTATTACCTAAGATTGGTTCACCATAGCTTCGTCCCACACCTCACACCCACCTCGAGACTTCTCACTAGCTCAATGTTACCCAAACAACTACACTTGTAATCTTATTAGCCGACTATAATTTTGCCCCACCTCACCTCGTGGCTTTGCTCAATAAAACACCCTTGAGCAGCAATCTTTCTCTCAATAAATTCTTCTTATTCTTAACCTCCATTGTTCCTAGAATTCACTCCTGCATTTTAGAGAACATGAACATGGTATTTTGGACATCTAGCACTTGGGAGTTAGAATCTTCCCCCTTAGATTATTTGGCAGTCATATATCATTCACCCTATGTCGGTGAGACCTAACAGGAAAACAATCAGCTTTGCAAACTAGAGATAACAATCCACCCTAGCCAGTCCTGTCTTGCCGTGTCCGTGCAGGTAAGGCAAGGAGAGCAAGAACAGACTGATTATTTTGCAGTTAGGTCTTATTTTCTGGGAAACAGGGCAGTTCCTCTCAGTGACAAAACAGAAGCAGCAAGGTATAAGAGCAATGACTAGGTGTAGTGATGCACACCCGTACTCCCAGCAACTGAGGAAGCTGAGGAGAATTGCCAAAAGTTTCAGTCCAGCCTGGATACACAAATTCAAGACCAGCATGAAATACATAGTGAGAACCTCCCAGCCCCTAAGAGTCTTAATGTAGCTCAGTAGTAGAGCACTACTAGGTTCAATCCCTGGTACTAAAATGGGCAATTGGAGATAATGGCTCAGTAGCAGAGACCTAGCTTAGAATGCACAAGGCCTTGGGTTTGATCTTTAGCACTAAAAAAACCCAAAAAGAACAAGCACATAGCGAACGCTGCTTAATATTACACATGCTGACAAAGAGGACAGAATGTGTTGAAATATGCAGCTTACTATATTTATTTGTACTGTTGCAGGCAGCTGAGTTAGTTAGAAATACTATACTCAGTGAGACAGGGCTAGGCCCTCAAAGGAGTCAATGCATTTAGCTCAGACACCTGGCAACTGCACTGTGGGGGAGGGAGACTGACACCTCCTGCTGTGGGCCAGGCCTCAAGACAAAGGATCAAACAAAAGCATCTACATCAGTTCTTAAACTGAT